TTTAATGTAAATTACTTCATAAAAATCAATTCGGTTTCACAAGGGGTCGCTCGACAACTGATGCTGGTGTTGAACTAATTAAATATATATTTAATGCATGGGAAAATACACAGGATGCTTTGGGTGTATTCTGTGACCTATCCAAAGCCTTCAATTGTGTTCACCATGAAACATTAATCTGGAAACTTCAACACTACGGTGTAAGAAGTGATGCTCTTGAATTAATTATTTCATATTTAAGTGACAGAACGCAAGAAGTTGTCATTAATAGTATGAGTTCTTCCGGGTCGATTGTACAAATGAGCGTGCCTCAGGGCTCAATTCTCGGCCCCTTTCTGTTTCTTGTATATATTAATGACTTACCTTACATAGTAGGGGATAACCATGATATAGTATTATTTGCTGATGATACTTCATTCATTTTCAAATTAAAATGACAGTTATTAAATTACGACGAAGTAAATAATGCTGTAGCTAAGTTAGTCAATTGGTTTAATGTTAATAATTTGCATTTAAATGGAACTAAAACTAAATGTATGAAATTCGTAACTCCTAATGTCAAACATGTTAATACTAACGTAATTTTAAATGAGGAGGAACTGAGTCTTGTTGATACTACCATTTTTCTTAGAATCACACTAGACGCAAAGCTTCAATGGCTCCCCCATATATAAAAACTAGCTAGCAGACTTAGTTCTGCAGCATATGCTGTAAAAATGATTAGAACTCTTACCAGTGTTGAAACAGCTAGAATAGTTTACTTTAGTTATTTCCATAGCATTATGTCGTATGGTATTTTGCTATGGGGACACGCGACTGACACTTTAATTATGTTTATTTTACAGAAGAGGGCCATTAGAGCAATATATAATTTAAAACCAAAAGTCACCGAGACAAAAATTTAAGGAAATTAATATATTAACTTTGGCCTCTCAATACATTTATGAAAATGTAATTTACGTACACAAAAATAAAAGTAGTTTTGCAAAAATAAGTGGTACTCATTCTGTAAATACTAGGATCAGAGACAGACACAAGCTAGTAGTACCAGTTACTCGACTCCACCGAGTCAGTAATTTATTCTTGGGGCGATGTATACGCTTTTACAACAAAATCCCAGATAATATACAAAATTTGTCACACACAAAGTTCAAAAATGTTATTAAACTAAGTTTGTATTAAAAGGGTTATTATAATATTAAGGAATTTATGGATGATAATAACCCCGGGAAGGGTGATCGCTACCAAGCTATTTCTAATTTTTTTGTTGTTAATTGTAAACATGATTGTAAGCTACTATTGGAAAAAAACAGTCCCGTTCTTGTTGGTTCTTCTCAGGACAGAGGTTTTTATTTGCGAACCAGTGGTAAATGAAAAAAGTGACTTTCAATAAGTATTGTTATAATCTACATTGAATAAAAAAGTTTCTGTTTCTGTTTCAAAAATTTCAATAAAAACATTTACGATTTCAACAAAAGTAAAGATGAAACGGAATTGCAACTTCGAGACCTTTGATTTTGACATTTAATCTGATTAAAACTTTGATAATTACATTAATTTGTTTGTTTTTAATGTCCTCCCTATAGTGTATTCTATCTATTACTAGCATTAAATTATACAAAAGATAATATAGAGATAAAGATGTAGATTTACTCTTTTTTAATTCGATATTTACAGTTTTCTACAGTTTTTTTACAAGCATATCTACAGTTTTGCTCTAAGCTGGGGTTGGCAGCACTGGTCTTACACATGAAAGAGAAAGTTTTTCTGTGTCGGCGGTTACAGAGTTTTATTTAGACCAATCTCCAGTCCAAAACGGGCGGATTATAGTAGTTATCGGAAAAGCTGATTAGAGAGAGAGTACTGTATCTGATTCTAATTTATTCTGGTATTAATCTAAATCAGACATAATCAACTCTAAAGAGTTGGTAATGATTTACAGTTTTATCTATAGCATCTTTAGAATTGATATCGATATCTCGTATCTAATATTGTAGGTACCGATTTTTCACTTGAAATTCTTCCCTAGTCCAATAAATGTGACAGCTGTCAAATGTCAATATGTATTTCTTAGGTTTGGATTTGTTAGAGTACCTATACGTATTTTAGAATAAATCAAGATTTAATATTTTTAGTATACTACATTTAGATATAAATAATGGCTCGTAATTTAGCCGAAAACGTCAGAAAATTATTATTATTAGGACAATGCGTACCTACAGTTAAACAAAATGCAACAAAGATTAGAGTAAAAAGGTTAGAATTAGACGAAAATTTACTAATGGTAAGCACATATTATATATTGTAAGTACTTAATTAAAATATAATCAAGTACATTTTAATATGTTGTCGTTTTAGTATTTCAGAAAGGATGAATTTTACTACTGTTATGATCCAGAAAAAAAATGTCAAACTGGAGATATTGTACTCATAGAAGCTTTACCCCGGAAACTAACTAAACTCATTACTCATCAAGTAAAAGAAGTTGTATATCCATTTGGTGATGTTACCGATCCAGTTACTGGCAAAAAAGTAGCTAAAGAAAGATACAGGGAAGATATAGATATTCAATCTGAATTATATGGAAAATTAGAATCTGCATTTGACTACAAAAAAGCCCCACCTAGAGGTTGGCAAGAAGGAAAGAAGGACTTCACTTCAAAACCAACATACACTAAATTCCATGTATTTGATGAAAATGACCCATATGCCATTTAAATGATAACCTTTACTATTAGTTGTTACTTAGTATAAAGTAGTGATTTATGTAAATCTGTCATGTTTAATAAAACATTCAAATGCATTTTTGATTATGTAACATATTTTAGGGATCAACTATATATATCTTTAATTTTATTTAAAAACAGATCTTCACTTATTTTTTTCAATGCTAACAATTTTCTTAGTGTAGTGTATGTATTAGAGATCCAATAGTTAAGATTTCTAATTACAGTAGAAAGAGCAATAACATGCCCTAGAGAAATTTGACAGTGCCCAGGATTCAACTACAGGACATAATTTTGTGCTTGGGCTTTAATTTAGAAACATCGATAATACTGTTTCATACTTAAACTGGATCACTTGTAGGGACACGTCGGTATCTGCCTATATTAGCAATATTATTGGCTACAAAAAAACACATAAGTTAGTTTATCAGAATCGCACAAATATCATATCAAGCAACACCTTTTTTATATTGTCTTCTGATGTGTCTTTATGAAGGGAAAATTGTCCTGAAATCTGAAATGTGTTATTCTAATATGCAATATGTAAGTTGATAAGGTGTTGATAAAATAAGGTTTAATTTCATGGTCTTAATTAATATTGGTTCCATTGAATATTGATTAGCTCCATATGCCAGTATTTTTTTACATTCTAGTAGACTTCAAAATTTCATAAATGTAGTTTTATTCATGGTGAATCCGTAAGAAGAACTAAACTCATGAACAGGAGTAGAAAACTACATAAGATGGGCAGCAGCGTACTCATGATCATAGCTCAAAATAATAAAAATATGCAGTTGGCAACTCTCATGCCAAGAGCGAATACTAATGCCCAGTCTATTTGACAAACATTGGGGGAAACTAAATTCATGAACAGGAGTAGAAAACTACATAAGATGGGCAGCAGCGTCCTCTTGATCATAGCTCAAAATAATAAAAATATGCAGTTGGCAACTCTCATGCCAAGAGCGAATACTAATGCCCAGTCTATTTGACAAACATTGGGGGAAACTAAATTCATGAACAGGAGTAGAAAACTACATAAGATGGGCAGCAGCGTCCTCATGATCATAGCTCAAAATAATAAAAATATGCAGTTGGCAACTCTCATGCCAAGAGCGAATACTAATGCCCAGTCTATTTGACAAACATTGGGGGAAGCCCATGATCAGCAGTAAATAGCCCTATTAAAAGTAAAAAAGGAGCAGCCTAAATACATACCACTTATAGGCACAGGCCAAAAGTAGTTCATTAAGTTGACACCAACGCATGATGACTTACTACCTAGAGATTACAAAATCCGGATTTTTTTAAATCCGAATTTCTTAATTTTCCTATGATTAAAATCCAGATAATCTGGATTTTTCAAAGATCATTAATTCAGACATGACAGTATAAAAAAAACAACAAAATACAGTCATAAACTAAACGTAACATACAATCAAAAGCAATAAAACGTAAGATAATTTAAGTCCATCATTTTTATAAAAGTGTCGTCTAAAAAAAAATGTTTCGGGTAACTCAGTTACAAATAAGGGACGAAATAATAAATTCTATTTTTATGATATTAATTTAGTACATATAATAACCCATTCCATGCCAGCAACGCACACGCGTGCGTTTTAGTTTTTTTTACTTGTGTGCCTGCAACGCACCGTATGCGTGTAGTGTATGTTTTAATGAAGTATCATTTATTCACTGTGCGTTGCATTATTGTTGCCATTTTTTAATTTACCTCAATCTAGATTATATTTCTGATATAGCAACACCGTTACAGTAGTAAAAGAAATGTTACATTTGAATTGACGCCGGTTTTTGTGTTTGTGATTTTTGCTAGTATTATAAATCAAGTTTTTACGGTGATTTAGGTGTTAAAAGGTAAGTAAATATGATTTTTAAATCAAATTTAGTCATTTATATATAACAACAATGTAATTTTAAGTCTACTGATAATATTTTGGATAAATTTTGAAGTCCAAAACATACCAACGCTAATGGTGCGTTCAATGGCATTTATGAACGACTTTGTTCATGGATGGTGTTAGACATCGACAATAATCGGTCGCTCAATGTTACTTCTGCTATTGTAACTTTATAGGAATGTTATTTTATAACTTGTGATATTTTACTGCAGTGTTCGTATTACATACCCTACATGGTACAAAATAAAACCGTTTGTGAAAAAACGCTTTTATTTTTAAATTTGAATGGGATGAATTGTGTAAAGTAACTAGTATTTTTGTCGTTTATAGGTCTTTTGTTTTCTCCTTAAGCATTATGGCAAATAATAATAGAGGTCGTCGTTTGGTTGAATTGTCACTTAATACTGCTGAAGGTACTAATTTACAAGCTAGAAAAGAAAGTTATTCACAAGATAGGTGAGTTAATAATACAGACAGTTGATCTTTATCTATTAATATGAATAGTTAGAATGATTTTATCTATTTAAATCAATATATTGAATGTTGTTATTTTTTAAAGTTTAACAAATCGGATAATAAATAAAAATGTTTCAGAGATAAAAGTAGCACATCAGGTTTAAAGCGGAAAAGGGCGAGCTCTTTATATACGGCTGTAGAAATGGAACCTAAGAATATTCGGCGAAATTCTATTGAAACACGATGCCCAATATTGCCATTCCCACATTCTGTTCAAAGGTAGGTAACCTACACATTTCTTTTCTTTAGTTTTGAGAGTATTTTTAAGTTTAGTTTTTCAATAGAATATTGTTGTTTCAGTAAACAACAACTATTCAAGCAGTCTCCAGTACTTTGCACATCTTCTAGTGGTGTAGTTAAAACTTGGTCTGTCGAAAATGTGTCAGAATTACATTCAACTTCGAAGGCCATTGTAATCGATATGGTTGCCCAAGCAGACTGTGATGACAAGACTTCACCAACTGAAATAAATTATTCAAATTCGTGTAATGAACATTCGACCTTACGTAATGAACCTTCGACTTCGTGTAATGAACCTTCGACGTCATATATTGAACCTTCGACCTCATATAATGAACCTTCCACCGCATATAATGAACCCACGACATCGTTCAAAAATATTGAGATTTCATTGCCTATCGGAGAAAGCAATAAACGATGTGTAAGAACAAGAGGTGGACATGTTGGAAAAAAGTTCCAGGACCGGAAAAATATTGAAACAAAACTCAGAAACAGAAACAGATGTAGCTGGCCAAGGGAAAAGACGAAGAGTTAGAACTAGAGGAGGTTCTGCATCTTCTATCACTCACCAGTTAAGAACTGGTCGTGACTTGTGTCAAATATATAGTGTACAAGTGCCTATTGAGGAGGAGCTTTCGGCAATATTAAATGATAATGATGAGCGAGATAATTGCGCAAGGGCCCAATTTCAGGCGCAAGAACTTTCAGATAAACAACTTCTGGACATACTTGAAGCTTCTGATGACAATTTCGATGATGAGGTTCTAGATGAAAATTTTCTTAACAATTTTGATGATTCTGATTCAGATGATGATAATATGATACCAACTGAAACCTTCGCACCTCCAACTAGTGATGGTGAGTGTTTAAATTGGTCGGACCAAATATCCCACATAAAAGATATTGCTTTTATAGGAAACCCAATGGGGTTAAATGTACAACTAGAAGCAACTGAACCTATCAACTTTTTTAATTTAATTATGACAGATTACGTAATTCAGGACATCATTGATAAAACCAATCGTAATGCAAGCAATATCCTTGCAAAAAGTTTACCCGGAAGTCGAATACACTACTGGAAAAAATGTAACAGTTTCAGAATTCAAAATATTTTTGGGGCTACTTTTCCATATGGGTACAATAAAATTAAATAGAATACAAGATTATTGGAAGAAGCACAGACTATTCAACCTGACCTGTTTTAGTGAGCACATGAGTCGAAATCGTTTTTTACTAATTCTAAGAGCAATGCACTTTGAAAATATAGAATCAGATGATAACAGATTAGCGAAAATTTCACCTTTGGTTATGTTTTTCAATAATAGGATGACAGAAATATACAACCCTGTACAGAATTTATGTATTGATGAGTCCCTTGTATTGTGGCGCGGTCGACTAATATTCAGACAATACATAAAGAATAAAAGCCAGAAATATGGTATAAAATTATATATTTTGACTGATGCAAACGGAATAATACTAAAACAAATAGTGTATGCCGGCGCAGGAGACCCAATTGTAGGTGGCGTGAATCATTCCTCAAAAGTAGTTTTACAGCTATTACATGATTTTTTGAATAAAGGCTACTCTGTTTTTATGGACAACTTTTATAATTCTGTTGATCTGACAGAAAAATTATTATCTGAAAATACTTACTGCACCGGAACTTTACGATTAAATCGAAAAAATAACCCAAAGTACATTACTACTAAAAAGTTAAAGAAAGGCGAATGTGTCTCGCAGTTCAACCAAAATGGCGTTTGTGTCATGAAATGGCGGGATAACAGAGACGTCACTATGATATCATCACAATTTAATTCGCAAATGATTACTACCACTACAAGAAGAAATACAGAGGTCTCAAAGCCTAAAATGGTTGTAGAATATAATCGTAACATGGGTGGTATTGATCACCAAGATCAAATGATAGCGTACTATTGCTGCGAACATAAGTCTATCAGGTGGTACATAAAATTGGGAATCCACCTGTTGCAACAAATGATGTACAATTCATTTACTTTATCTAATTTGTTTTCTGGCAAAAAACTAAGTTACTACGAATTCAGGCAATCAGTTATAGAAAATTTACTTCCCGAGGCTAAGGTCCAAAAAACTGGAGAGGTCTCAGAAGAAGGGGTTATACTTAATATTGTTCATATAATTCAGCCTTGCCCACGGAAAGGAAAATCAATGCGCAGAAGATGCAAATATTGCTGGGAAGTCAATAAAATACGTAAAGATACACCATTCTACTGTCCAAATTGCCCTCAGCAGCCTGGATTTTGTATTGTTGATTGTTTTAGATTATACCACAAATATACATAGTGCACGCACACACACACACACATACACACTCGCGCGCACGCGTTATGGTTGAGGTCGTGTTATATTACTAGATGGTGCTCGTATCAAGTTATATTCCTAGTAAGACAGTTATGAGCCGAGTTCATGTGACTGTATTACGGTATATGTATAGCTATATCATAAGGGATATAACTATATCACGGTTTCAACCATCTTACTACGACATATATATTTAACATAGTTATACGAAAGCGATTCATTACTACTTTATGCTCGCAATCTGGTAATACATTTATTTGACTAAACTAATCTGGTTAAATAATTATAAATCTCCCATAGAATCAAATAAAACAATATATTGGTTTTTGTTTTTATTACTAAATCAACTTATTGTAACTGATTGTTACAATACTTTGTTGCAATAGAATTTATTACTACTAATTTTTAAAATTTTTAATTTTTAAAATTTATTACTAGTAATTACAATTACAATTAATATTAAAAACGATTGTATTTTGTATATAAGCATTAACGATACAATTGGGAAAACTGATTATTTGTGAAAAACCTGGTACTTCTTGCGTGAATTTTCTTTAATCCCATATTTCTCAGCATTTTTTTTAAAATTCTAACTACACTCCTACAATTATTTCACTAAACTTAATTAAGTAATACAATTATATCAGTAAACTTGAACCGTATTATACTTATATTCCTAGTGAGATAGTAATGAATCGCTTTTGTATAACTATTATATCCCTAGGGATATAACTATATTAAGACTTTATCTATCATACTGCGACATATACAAATTTTTATATGTCGCAGTATGATAGATAAAGTCATATACGTATTTTCTGCTAGAATACCTACATTGCTTAATCTTTTAGCTTTTTTTAGATACTGTTTTACATAACTGTGTTGAAGCTCTTGGTATAAATATTTTCTGTATTTGCTAAATAAATATTTTTTCATTTTACTATAATAATTATTATGAAAATACGTACTTATAATATAATTATGAAAAAGGAGAATTAAAGACTGCTTTGATCTTATATGAGTATTTTTATTTCTGTCACCTACTCTACACCCTAACAATTTAATTATTAGTTCATGTTTCCCAGTCGTGCATAAAGCCATCCACTATATACTCTCAAAAGTGCGTTCTCGGATCTCTCGAAAAACTTTTTTTCACCATGTGCCACCAACGCACCGTATGCGTTTGGTGTATTTTTTCGTATTTATCAACAATATTTATTTAAAAAAAATCTAAATACATCATTAGTAATCCATTTCCTACCATAAAACATAATAAAAACTGGTGGCACCTGGTCAACAACTTTTAAAAAAAGGTGGCATCGAATGGGTTAAACAGTCTTTTTTAGAAAAGGAGATCTTAAAAATATGAAAACGTCAATTAGTGTCTCATCGTTTAGATATGATCTTATTGTATTACAGAACATGCTAGCTGTGGAAAAAGCTCTTTCAGACTTTACACTAGTCGGCGGTATGAAAAGCAACCTGTTACAAATTTTTTTTAGGATTTCTCCACGACCACCACCGTTTTCAAATAAAGGCATTTCAACGTGAGAATCAGTTGCGCTGTTGACTGGTGTTGATGGTCACTACCCACACATGCAAGAGAAAGTTGACGATTAAGCTTTTCTTTTTAACTGAGCGGCGATGGATCAGAACTATCGCACAGAATCCCTGTAATATAGTTCGTATTAGTCGACATGGTCGTGCAATCGTCAACATTCAGGAATGCAGCTTGATAGATCACATTTTTAATTTCACCATATCATATGCAGGTTTTTAAATGTATCTTCGTCTTCCTCAGTCTCATTTAAAAATTGATTAAGGTTGGCTTGGGTAAGTGTTGTAAGACACTGACAATATTGTAAAGTTGCCTCTCTTTAATTTTCAGTTTCAATGAAATTGTCAGTTGCCTGGCAGATATCGTGTCTTAGCTGTCTAGACATTTTCATTGAATTTATTAAAAATTTAAAAGCTGTATACCTAATCCTACCAATTCGTAAGTAATACCTAACTACTCTTTACTTAGAATGAAAATTTGTGAATAAATGTAAAATATTTTCCATTGAACTCAATTTTGACTAAAATCTGTAAAAACCTGATTAGATTCTTAAAAATCGGATTTATAAATCTAGAAAATCCGGATTTTTCAGTTATTTTTGAATTTAGAAGAATCCGAATTGCAATCTCTACCTATACTTAAAAATGATTTCCGAAATATTTCTTTTACTTCTCAGATATTATGCAGGTTTCCGTGCGATCTTTTTTTTCACCGCTGAAAACGTGGCAAATCGAAACTTCAAATTGCATAATGATTTCTTATATTTACGCGAACACTATACATGATTAAAACTACTTTTACAGATTTTATCGCGTTTATTTTTACTTTTATTTTTTATTCAAATTGCAGTTCAAGTCTTAGACGAAATAAAAACTCAAGACAGAGCGCTGTCAACAATGAAGTGAGGTCGGTTTGGTAAACATGTATGCACTAAGTGAGTGTTACCGTGCAGTAAAAAATTATTACCCTAATATATTATTAAGATTTTATTTATCAGGATGAATGGATAAGTAAAAAGATAAGTTGGCAATTTTTAAAATTGTATACCTCACTTTAAGAAGTAGTACGTATGTTTATTTCGACTAAATAGGGTACTAATTCGCACGCAGACTCGACGACTTCCAGCCTCCCGAACAAGCCGGTTTCCGAAAAGGCTTTAGGTCAACTCGGATTCAACTCGGCTGGGCAGCGTTCGGGAAATTACGACACTCACACACTTGACCCTCTTCTCGTCAGGTATACCTCAAAACCTGAAAACAAAGTTGTACAACCAGTGCGTGTTGCCAGTGATGACCTACGGAACCGAGACGTGGTACTTCACTGCTGGCCGTATGAGGACGCTCAAAGTCGCTCAGCGAGCTATGGAGAGGGCTATGCTCGGGGCTTCTTCGCGTGATAAACTTAGAAATGAGGATATCCGCAGTAGAACCAGAGTGACCGACATAGCCCAACTGATTAGTAAGCTGAAGTGGCAATGGGCCGGCCATATAGAAACCGACAACCATTGGGGAAAAAAGGTTCTCGAGTGGCAGCCTCGTACCGGTAGGCGAAGTATAGGATGACCCCCCACTAGATAAGTGACGACCTGGTAAGACATGCAGGAAGTCGATGGATGCAGGTGGCCCGGGGTCGTGCTTTGTGGCATACCTTGGGGGAGGTCTATGTTCAGCAGTGGACTTGTGAAGGGCTGTAATGATGATGGTGATGATGAAGTAGGGGAAAAATAAAACAATATTAATATGAAAGAAACATTGCTTTTATTTTAATAGCCTTTTTGTTAGGTCAATTTTTGTACCATTTCGTTTCGTACCACACGACGAAGTCCTTTATTTGTCTAATAAAAATCGTCATCTTCAAAATGTGTCGAACAAACTACGCTGCGTACCGTTGGATTCCACGATGGCTCATTCCGGCTAACTCGGAACACTTCTATCCACTTCTCTTTAATCTCTTTATTTCGGATGGGAACCTTAAAAATATAGATTTTTGAAGTGATGATAAAACATGGAAAAATAAAAAAAATATGCCTATTTACACTTACATTAATATAATGAATATTAGAAGTAAAATAGAAATAGGTAAATGAACGTGTTACATTAAGTTTCGCGTCATATTAATGTGTCTGAATGAATAAATGGGGACTACAGTGACGCTTACTAGTGGTAACACTTGTTGAGGTTTTATGTTCCAAGCTGTCAAAATAAATAATAAAAATGATTTATTAAAATTTTGGATTTTTATGTTTACTTACTTATGATATGTGATTCCATCCTGCTTTTTATTCCTGGAAAATTAGTTTTTACACCCTTTTACAACAAAATTCGGCATTTTTCCTTTAAAATCTGCGAATTATTATTAAATAGGAATAGGAATAGCTCGAATGACAAGGTAAGGCGTAGTTTCGTTTTACGTGCGTGCGTGAAACTATGTATGTACAAGGCAAGGCGTAGTTTTACCGGCCTCAGTGCGTTGTTCGGCGGGGCTCTGTCTTGAGTTTTTATTTCGTCTGAGGTTCAAGTATGAGTGGAGTCCACGCGGATCTAACTTGGGTTGCTTACGTACCTACAAAAAAATTTAAATATACATATACTACTTAAGAGAATTGTGAAGCTCTAAATTTTGATACAAAAAGCGATAACGTTTTCCTATTTCCGTAGTTTAATTTTCATAATTTTTGGAAATGTTGTAGATATACTTAACAAAAAACTAGGTCCGTGCGTTTTAATTTCAAAGAAATATTATGTACGATATAATAAAGTTATTAGCATCTAAATATCTATATTTTTGACTTAAAACTTCCTCGAGCGTTTTTATTTTTCATAATTAAACTAAACTGATTTACTAGAAAAGAAAAACGTACAGACCCAGAGTAAGGTGTACTGAATCTAATGAGACCAAAATTATCTCATTTTGTAGAGGTTTAGGGGGTTAAAATGTTATCGCCCGAAACAATATTTCAATAAAGAAATGTAGGCAATTGTTTCCAAGACTTGCAACTCTCTCTATCGCACGATACGGGTCGGGAGCAGGTACCGCATGCAGTTGGGGAAAAAAATAAGCGTACGTACTAGTTCCTACGAGAAAAAGAGTTGAGAGCAATGTTTTGCGTCTTTGAAAAGCAATAGTTGGCGTCGTGAAACATTGGAAGAATGAAGACATCACTGACGCGGAAAAAACTAAAAGCATCAAAAATGACATAAAAATCAGCGTTTCGTCGTGTTTGTTTACACTAAAAGAGTTACTGTATACTCATTTCAAAGGAAATACGGCAACCAAATATCAACATGAATCGGAGGCCATACGAGAATTTTCTACAACTACTAATCTAAAAGTTTCCGTGTGTGGACTATTTATTGATTAAGATGATTATTATTTAGGGACAAGTCCCGATGACTTATCGGAGATGACTTTTTTTATAGAAGAG